ACATACATACATACATACATACATACATACATACATACATACATACATATATACATACATACATACATACTTACACACATACATACGTACATACACACAACATACACCCACATACATACTTATGCATACACACACATACACACGCATACACTTACACATACAAAAACTTGCGTTTCAGAAATTTTCAGGGATTTGAATAAAAATGAAGTTATGCGAATCAATACCTTAGTTCTGTGTTTAAAAAATAGTGTCCTTATTGTAACACAAATCCACCAAAAATAACCCTCCATGCTTCTTTTTCTGCTCGTTTGATTTCTTAAGAGTCTCCCGTGCTGTCTTGAATTTATGCAATCACCATCCAAGCTTAGTAGCATATATAAATAAGCAAGTTTCAAGATTAGAGCTCAAATGCGCCCTAAACGTATGGTGGCTACTTTAAGGTAAAGTTAAGCAACAAAAAAGGATCAAATTCCTCAGGGTGTCAGAGCTGTTTGGCTCGCGCTGCTATCCATTTAACTACTAAACCTTGAATCACTTCTTTTTTCACCTGCATTTTCTTTGGATTTCCTCTCAACCCAACATTTTTTCATTTCAGTCTTGGAATATAAGCACATTTGAATGTCCTGTGAACCTGGAATGAAAAACATTTTGTATACTTATAATTAGATGCAGCCCAAAACAGGTGTACAGTATATCGTATGATCGAACTATGAAGCCTAATAGCAAATGCACGTAATAACATCGACTTAAAAAACACTATAGATTTCAAAATATTTATTCCTTTTGGCATGTTATTTTACGGACGGCGTATGTTCGGATGATAATCATCATCCTCATCGCCAGGCTGCCCATTATTTCCACCATTGTTATTTCCACCATTGCCTCCATCTTTAGGGATTTTCACGGATATGGATCCATTTCCGCTTCCACTGGTATAGTTGTAGTCTTCCCAGTTAAAAGCTGTAAAGTGCTTTATAAATGGATCTTACATACTGCAATATTCTTCTATATTGCTCAGCTTCGCGTTGAAAAAACATGGTAAAAGTTCATTGCTGTAAGTGCTGTAAACTCCATTCAAAACATTAGTCCGCATAGTAACCTTGGAGGTTGGACTAATCTTTCAACACACATAAGCCTCTACTGAAATTCCTCCTCCTTCCATCTTTGCATGCGCAATGTTACTTTTCTAAATCAATGAAATTCGCAATTAGAAAATTGGAGGGTAAACCTCAAGTAGAGAAAGTTAGACTTTATAAAGTGCTATTTGAAAAGCAAAGATAAGATTTGACCTCTGCA